TAAATAGCAGCCCTCATCTTGGTGCTGTGGCACAGTTTAGATGTGGAACACTTAAGCATTCCTCCCATTCAGCTATGCATTAATTATACTTTTGGTAAAGTCAGTCCTCCATTTACAAATTGGAAATGATAGTGACTTATATCAGTCAGAATCCTATTAGTTATTTATACCACATAAGTGCAATGGCAGCAATCACAGTGATAAACTGCTGCTAGTTAACAAGTCACTGTTCATACGCCTTACTGCATACTGGTCATGAGACCTGGCACACAATGAGGAATACAAGCAATGACTTGTTAGGTAGCGAAAATTCATCTCAACAATTTACACTACTGCATTATGCATAAATGAGGCTGTCCATTATTTCTGACAGGATAAATGCAATAAAGATTCTATAATGCTATGAAAATCAATAGCTTTACATAACTGTTCCACATTGTTAGAACGCAAACCCTGGATTCCCACATCTGTGGGAAAGGACTAATACTGTACTCCTGTTAACAATAAATCAGAAATCTGCAGCATGATAAACACAGAGCTTATCTCATGGGGTAGCTACAGCCTCTGAAGAACATATTATGAAGATACAGAATGCCAAAGCCCAGACTAATTTACTGCAGTCCAGTTTCTTTTGGGAGTCCTTGCTTTTTTCAGAAATGGGCACATCTGGAATTTGGATGGGATGAAACAGGGGATATATAAAGAAAGGCAGCTGTTGCATTGTAATGCCAAAGAGAAGGAATCACTTCCTTCTCCAGAGGATAACATTCCTTTCAAGATTTTACATGACAGTTGTTTAAACAGCAGCTACAGGCTCAATGTATAAACTTATGTTCAATTACTTACATGAGGTTTCTAGATAAAGGATTTTGGGTGCCTGGGTTGTGGATGTTCTTGGCAGAGCACTCTGGGGATCCATAGCTTAGAAGGCTAGCGTGATTGGAATGTGGTAGGATTTTGGGGTCTGGTGAGAGTTCAGTTGGGGAAAGAAATCAGAAAGTTGGAGGAAGTAAAAAGTCTGTTTGCAAGTAGCAGTCTATTACAGGGTTTATGAAGAGAAGTCTGTCTATGGCAGTTAAGAGTGCGTGTGTAAGGAAGGTTGAGAATTTGTGATATAATTATTTTGAAATTTAAATTCTGATGATCTTTATTGCTCTTTTAATCCTTATTGTTCCCATCTAAGAACCCTATTTTCCCTTCACACCTACCACCTGTCATCCCTAAATAAAAATCCAATTTGTTTGTTTTATACAGAACAAAAATTATTTGTTCTATACAGAACTAAGAATAGAGAACCCAGATTACTAATAAAGGAAAATACATCCATATCCTATGAAGTCATATTTTATCATTAGGAACACAGAGTTTTATTTACACTGAGAAACTCACACAGAACATCTGCATGATCTAGGTGGATACCAGCTTGCGCAAAGGAGGCTTTGGCTGGTACAGTAAAAGGAATAGCCCACAAATACTTGGAGGGTGTTCTTGCAGTTTAAAGACTTCTCTACTGGCACTAAGGAATGGTGGCTAGGACTTCAGGCATTAAAAGGTATGAAAAAGTGCCTGGGTAGTGTCTGCAACTGCCTTAGCTAGTGTAAAAATTAGTAGAAAGGAAAGCTCCTTCCCAGGCCAAAACGTCACAGGCTGTAGCTAATGGAAGGGTCTCTTCCTGGAGAAACACTGACAGTCACAGCAGACAATACTTGCCTAAATGCATCATTGGTGTGACTTAACATAAAGCAGCATTTCTGAATCTCTGTGTCTCATGGGAATACATTACTGAATACTACATGCTAAACAGAAACTAGGGATGTGTAATTTCTCTAAGGGCTCCTACTGCTGAACTTCCAGAGATATTTGTCCAGCTACTGTTGGAGACAAACTGGAGGACTGCTGCAATGATTAATTTGATTCAGTAAAGCAATTTGTCTCTGATTTTCCTTTATTCGCTTGTGCTTAATCACAAACTCATTCAAATTCCCTTTGATTCATCCAAGATTAATATTATTTTCGGTACTGATTTAGAGACAAGACATAATGCTATGGCAACTTGCCCTGACAGATTCCTTCTGTCTTTGACAGAGTACCTGAAGAAGTGGAGAAACACATTCAGGAGTACTCTTTCCTCTGCTGTCTACTTCCTATTTCTGAAAACAGAGGGAATAAAACTGTTATCTCCTGACAATTCTTCCAAATGAACGTATAAACTTCAGATATTAAGTAAACCTGATGTCCATTTAGCATATTGTAAGGTAAAATATTTCACAGACCAGTTAAACATCTTTTAATCTACTTCTCAACAGCTGTTACATTTCCTCTCATTTCTGCATGTTTGGCTAAGAGCAAAGATATTTCCTGTTCATGTATTTGTGGATTAGATGCTGCATCACCACCCACATTATGGGCTAGATTCAGACTTAATCATGGTTACAACAGACCATTTAAAATCAGTGGGATTTAAGCTAGCCTTAACTTGATATTATTAAGACTTCAGTAGTGGCTTACAGGTACACCTTACTCCCAATGCTGTAAGATTTACTAAGAACAATGCTGTAATCATATCAGTGGCAGGTGGCTTATTGTGTACCTGAAATGCAAATATAATTTGCATACCATTTTAGAAACTGTTCAGTAACAAACTGCAGTAGGCAGACTCATTAAATAGCCTTATTCAGAAACTGCTAAGTTTAGCTGTTGAATTATATTATCTAAGAAACATTAAACCAGAAGAAGTGAAAATATGTTTTCAGCTGCCTTCACTGTGATTTTTTTAAAGATTTTTTTTTGTACTGCAAATAAACCACGAGGACGTGAAATTTATTTCTATTTGGCCAAAGAAGAGCTTCCTGGTTGTATTCAAAAGTACTGGGGGGCATACTCTAAATTGCCTATTAAAGGAATGTATAAAATAACTTGAGTTAGCTGGACGGCTCAATGGCTGTGGAGCCAGAGACTGGAAGTTCAGTTCCTCATTACTGTGCCTCCTGCGAGTAGAGCCAACTTGTGTGGCCTTGGGCACGCTGCATAGTCTTTGGGTGTCCCCCGATGGGAATGGTAAACCACTTCTGAGTGTTCTCTGCCTGAAAAACCCTGAAAAGGGTCTCCATAAGTCAGAATTGACTCATAGCATTTCCTGTGACTTAGGATATAAAAACATGGAGCAGTAATATAGAACTCCAAAGTGTGTTACTTCCTATTTCAGCAATTTTACAGGTTGCTTTGTGGATTAGAGCAGGCAGAAGCAAACTGTGGTCATCCAGATACTGTTGGACTGCAGCTCCCATCAGCACTAACCAGAGTAGTCAATGGGAAATGACAATGGGAGTTGTAATCTAACACCACCTGGAGAATCATAAGCTGCTAGCTCTATGTTACTGTAATTGCTCATCAGAAAACTGGGTCAGGCCTGGCACCCCTGCTGGTTTCTGAAGCACATAAACAAATGCAAGGTAGAGATGTGCAGTTTCCTCTTTCCACAACCTAGGGCAGAAGCAAGGCGTGCTAAAGCTTAGTTTTAACCAATGCCTGTATCTACTCTATTATGTGATACTGTTCTGCAAGTGTGTGTCCTGATATACAGTAAGAATTAAATCCAGAGGAAGGCTCATAAGGCATTCTCTCAAAACATTTTGTCATTTTCTAAAAGGAGTCCATAAAATCTGCTCTTTTACAGGCACCTTTCGAATCAGATGTTTAAGAAGCAAAACAACTGAATCTGTCCTTGGGTCTTAGCTTGTGAACACAGCATCATAGCATTTCCTGTGACTTCTGTTGTTAAACAAGTCTTCCTTTCTCTGACTTCTGCTCTACCAGAAATAATAGAAAAGGTCAATGCAGGAGAGAGAGGACAGGAAGAAAACCAAAGCACACGGAATAATTATGGGGCACTGCAGCCAACACACAAAGCTAGAAAATGATGAAGGGGAAACATCAGGCCTTTGGGTTGGGCCTCAGATTTCTTGAACTACCAACAGGACCAACAGGAGGTTAACTCACTTCAGCCACTTCGCTCCTCTGGAGGTGTATGGTTGTGTTGGACCATCACACCCTTCTTGATGGCTGTGCTGTGTGAGAATTATGGGAACTGTAATACAATGGCTGAAATCCATTAGGGTTTTATAGTAGGCCTACTGAATTAGTGGGGACCGGTGATTAAATTCCTCTGTTTACTGATTCCTACTCTAGTTGTGACTTAATACTGGATTTCAGCCAGTGGGTTGTAATGGATAGAGTGATGGACTAGGGCTCAGGTGATCTGGGTTCGAATCCCCACAGCCATGTAAACTCATAGAACGACTCCTGAAATATGTTGTTTCACTTGAAAACCCTATTAGGATGGCTATAAATTGGTTCTGGTTGGCAGCACATAGTACACTCCTGCCCAATCCAAAAACATCTTAAATCGGAGAAGCAGCAGCCATGGGAACGGATACTAGAGAACATAGCATCTGTCTATTAACTCCGTATGAAGCCCCGATCCAAGGACATCTGGCGGGAAAAGCCCACCCAAAAGGAGAGTTCTTTTGAGGACTCCTGCAGATCCTCCCGCAGCCTTTCCTCCCTTGCCCTGCCCCTTCCCACACTTCTCCGGCCCAGCTCATTCCACCTGATGCTCTTCCGCGGCCTACCTCATCCCCTTTTGCCCATTTTCCCCTGCCCCGGGTCGTTCTTGTTCTTCCTCCTCCTCCCTCCCTCCTTTTCCCTCGCCGATCAAGCCTGGAAAGGCTTTTTTTAAAGTCAGTCTTTCTTTCCCAGAAGGCGGGCGGGAGGGCGAGCAGAGGAGTCGACCGGCCTCGAGTGTGCCCACTTAGTTCCCCTCCCGCCTCCCCTTTACGTACGTGCAGTCCTGGTTGTAGGAGAAGCAGGTCAGCGCCTCCGGCTCCCCCTCTCCGCCGGCGGCCTCCATTGGACTCTAGCGGGCGCCGAATCCCCGGGCTCAATTCCGTCCCCCGGACCGGGTTCGAGGCCTGCCTCCCCCTTCCCCGCACCGGCCTCCGCCGCGACACCTCCCCGGTTCCGGCTCCGAGCTGAAGCGACGGCCAGTCTCATCGCCACCCCAACCGCCGCCGGCTTCGGGGGGGGAGGGGGGTCGACGCCCTCCGCCGGGCCGAGCGCTCCTATTGGGCGCCGCGAACCCAAACGGGCCACCTCGTCCCGCCCTCGTCAGCAGCCGGGCCTCTCAGCCTGGCCCGACCGAAGCGGCTCGGCTCCT